GGGTCAGAAAGCTCTCGGATTTCATAAAAAATATCTTAATTTGTGAATTCAAAACGACATGAGGGTGCGTAATTAATGACAGAATTAATGACCGAATTTTCATTTTTGGGTGATCTATCCCTTTAAATGGAAAGAGGGTGCTGCAAAACATGCATAGAGTTGGGTCTTCAACTTTAATCAAAAAGGCACGAGTCAATCTTGTAAACACCACTTGATCAAATCTTGTTTTAAGGGAGATTAAAAGTGTCTTTGAGATTGCAGGATGGATTTCATGTCATTTATCGTTTGTACATGTATCCCACTCTTCATGCCACTTAATTAATATAATGACTGATTGTAGTTTTAAGGTCTGATGGAGGAATTTGACACTCTTCAGAGGGTTGTTACACGTTGTCTAAATACGCACCTCTAATTATCAGTCAAATAAATCTCTAAATCTGTGTTACCTCTCTCAGCAAAGCGTCACGCCGCATCTCCTCAGCACGGACCTCTCCCGTGTCCAGTTTACGGACCTCCTGGCTCAGTACAGGTTTGAGGTCCATAGCGGAGTACAGTCGTCCAGACAGCTTCAGGAACACAGAGACTAACGCTCGTGGCAGCAGACCCGCCTCTCCACCCGCACCTGCTCAATCACAGAAAATAACAACCCATCCAGCTGTACAGAAACATGTGCATCAGACCAGAGCTGGCATGGCCGTCTTACCCTGTATGGTGTAGGTTTTGCCCGAGTTGGTCACACCGTAAGTGTAGAGGAGCCGGTTTTCTCCACGCAGAACATCTCGCACCATCTCCCGTATGGTGTGATCGTAAACCTCCTGCTGAGAGCTCTGCGCTCCAAAAATCTGCACGAGTGAGAAAAGTCACATCCAGAGTGAAGCTTGTCAGTAAAAATAACTTTGTGAGCCTTTTTTACTATTGATGATTTCCTTCATGGTGGATGCTAGGGGAGTGCGATATATATGGTCTGTGATAATATCATAATTGTTGTTTTAACGATGTGTGATTTGACATTATCAAGTATTTAGCAAAAACCATTCCAAACACCCCTACAGAGC